TAACGAGCTTCAAGATTTATTTTAACTCAAGGTTACCACTGATATCCTGCAATAAAATCAGTAAATGAAATGTGTACTATGTATTTTAAACTGAGTTCTTGAAGGACTAAGTAATCTTTTACAGAGGTTTCATATACTATCTCAGTATGATGCAAGGACAATTTGGGTAGCAGAAAGTAACTGCCCAAGATTAAATAGCCATGCTGGCATTCACTAATTACTCTAATTACCATTAGTAGTAATTATTAATTTTGGCTATGTTTTCCCCATGAGCTGCTTTACTGTGGCCAATATAACCATGACATTTAGCTAATTTTAAGCTCTAAGGTGCCACGAGACACAGCAGTCCCTCATCCCGAAATGCCCTGCTCTGCAGAGATCTGTCTCCTTGCCGAGGCTGCTGTGCCAGGACGCTGCACCAAGCAAGCCCAAACAGGCTCTGCCAGCCCCACACTGCCACCTAAATCAGCATCCAGTGTTGGATTCGATTTTCACTATTACTCTGACATGCAGGAAACACAGTGCTGGCCAAAACAAAGGACTTCTCTGAGGTTTTCCCTCTTTTTCTCCTTTTAGTCTGATGCTTCTTGAAAAAAAACAACTGTTAAATCCAAGAATCCAATTCCTGGATTCTTGACTTAGTTCTATCATCAGGAAAGGGTTTGAAGAAGTGCCATTTGCTTAGGAGAAGGTAAAATTTATAAAAATACCTTTGTTCCTAAAGCCGCAACCAACCCAGAAGACTGCATCAATTTAAATACTGTTCTGTATGAGATTAATTAAATCCCTGCAAACACCCAGGGCAGATCTGCCCTAACACAGAAACACAGTTCCTGATCCAAGGAGCTGTAATAAAGCACCATTCCACGAGAAATGCAGACTCCTTTGGCTGTGTATCACTGCTCTGTGCAGCCCAAGGGACTCAAGGAAAGAACAGCTCTGGAGCCCAAATGATCAATCTTAATTCTCCCATCGACTGGAGTCAATGCAGGTCTGCACGGGGAATACCAGAGTCACCTCTGCTCAAACTGCAGAGTCAGCCCATTTCTGCCACCATCTTAAACAACATTTCTGAGTTGGGTTTCCTCTGGATGGCAAGTCTGTGGTGATCTCCTCGTTGCTGTTAAACCTGAGCTATTTGATAAGTATAGTGCACTTAATGGTCACGCTCTCAAAATTTCAAATGGTTCCTCATCTTTTCTTAACAAAAGCTTGTAATGCAGTTACCTGTTTGGGATCTGCTGAAAACACAGGGTTATGGAAAATAAATGGATGGGAATAAGTTATTCCCATCAGAAATTATGTATCATCCCCAGCCTTAAGCCCACGTCCCTTGCCTTTTTATTGCCAATAAAGCTGTTGCACAATTTGGCATCAGACTGATGCCAACGAGGGTGTGTCTGTGCTTGGGGCTGCAGGTCAGCACTGGGTGAGGAAGGGAAGCTTAAAGCTTAACCTAGAAGAGGAAGCCCAGGCCTCACTGGCAAAGGTGAGTGGTTAGTGAAGTCCTGTCTTTCACACATTCCTCATTGCCTGAGGCAGCTGAAATAGGACTGTATTTAGAAGCTACAACACAAGAAAGGTTTTTTTTTTTAAGGAGAGTAGTGTCAAACATTATATTAGTCTGCTTCTACCTCTGCATCTTTCCTGTTATATACATTAAGAGATTAACATATTTTTATGTGGCTGTGACTGACAAAGAATTGCTCGTAACTGTAATCCTTTTTCTCTCCTTTTTCAGCTCCCTGAAATAGCTTGCAAGTATTATTGAAAATGAACACTCCCTTCTGTACCGAACACAATAGACCACACATGCAATAGCTTTTATAGTAGTTCCAATACAGAAAAGGTAAAAAAGCACTTTAATTGTAAATTATTCAGAAATACCTTATGTAAAATAAAATGTTAATGTGAAGAAAGCAGAAGATGTTGCAGTTTCCTACTACGCAATGATAGTGCATAAAAATAAGGCATATCTTTTGCCAGCCCTCAAAAGTGAGTGGAATTGGGGTTGGAGAATGAATCTTGTGCAAATGAATTTGAGTGGAAGAATGGGCTCATCAGTCAGTTCATTTTACACTGTTACAGCTCTTCTTAAACCAAGTCCTGCACCAGCATCAAACCAGCACACTGCACTGGATAAATCCGGCCCAATATTTAAAACACTAAAAATCAATTATTATCAGCTACAGAATGACTATTTTTTAAGTGGAAAAAAATATTTTGTAAGGGTTGTGTGCCACTTTTGCTCCAAATTTGTAACACAGCTTCTGCTGAACAACATTCAAAGTCTCCAATAATGGTTCATCCAAAAGTCAGCCCTCAGAATCAACTCAGCTGCATTTGGCATTATTTTTACAATAACTAACACATCTTTCCCACTAAAGAACAGTCCCTGCAAGCTGACAATCCAAAAAATAAACGCTCATTGTAATTAAAGTGACTAAAAGAGAGAATACATCTGGATCTTCAGAAATACAGAAATACAGCAGGTGTGAAATCTGACGAAATTTTTCTTAGTCTCTACTTAGGAAGCCTTTAAATTCATCATGGAGATGTTTTGCAGTATTCATGGTCCAGCTTCTCTGCTCGTGAAGAACCACACTGGCCACAGACCTCATGCACCCAGGGAGCAACCTGCTGTGCTGAGTTGTTCCAGCAGAAAAAACTAATGAAAAAGGGTTCAGTTTGTTTGTCTCCAAGAACTGACTTGCCATGTTATCACACGAGTTCCTGCGCTAGCAGAAGGATAAGGGTGGAACCTGCAAATGCCACTAGAGACACAAAGAGGTAAACAGGAGTTGCACCCTTCCACAGAACAAAGCAGCGTCTCACCAGGCGAGAGGACCACATGCTCTGCATGTTCTGCTAAATAATGTTCTCTAGGGGCTGCACGGCACAGGATAACCTTGCTTGTGTGGGACTGAGTTGTACAGCATTGTGTTCACGGGAGTCATTATGAACAAGGAAGTTTCTGTGACTACATACCAGTTTTCCCTCATTCTTAGTTTTATCCAAAAAAAAAAAAAAGTAAACTTCATCCTAATTTTGCATTTAGGTTTTTAAAATTATTACTATTTTTCAGTTATGCTCAACTTCCCCATCTGTGTAGTTTTCATGTCAGAATTACAGGAAGCTTTCCCAATTCTGACTTCCATATACTTATTAGACGGAGTTTCAGTTGACCTCAAGGCAGATACACATCAGATAAGAAAATTCAGAACAAAAACGACAGGGGAAAAGCAGTTTGAACCAGAAATGCAGCTGATATATCTGGACCTTATTAAAGCATTTGATACAGTGCCTGAAAAAAATTTACTTGAAAAAGTGATTCATATTTGCCTGGATCTAAGGACTTTCACATGTTTTAAAAATTAATTGGAAGTTGCAGGGTTGTGAAAGTGGCAATAATATTAAAGGCAAGGGCGGTGCCTGGGATAATTTGACATATATCTTTTAACAATGAGCTAATTAAATAGGAACATGATGCTATTTGGGAAACAGAAGCAATCAAAAAAACCCCAACAAAAATAAAACAAAAGGCAAAACAAAACAAACAAACCACCAGAAACATACATTTTAGACTATAAGAATGCCTGAATACATACGATGAGATTTCATTTAAAAAACTGAAGTTACCAGAGTTAGATGAAAACAGTCCAAATTTATCAGGAAGATTAGCTCTGAGGTCGCAAACCAGTGTGGGCTTTTCAAAAGGGGCAATTTTTGACTTTACATGCTGAGTAGCTGTGCACTATGGACAGCGATAGCAAAAGTCATCTTCTTTCTTTTTTTAAGAAACACAACCAAGATTTTTAAAACATTTTAAATCATCTTTTAGGCTAAATTATAAAAAGGACATGTCTCTTTGTACAGAGAATGTTCCTACTTTTCTCTGTTTGGCTTTATCCCATTATTTCAGTTTACGCTCAGCTAACTTTAGGTTTCCTGTTTTGCTAGTTTTATTTTTTCAAGGACAATCTTCAGATCTGCCATCATAATTTACCAATTTGTGGCTTTTCATCTTATCAACAAGCCAGTCTTCCTAAACAACTGTTTTTTCCATTTTGTCTCTTCAAGAATGCTCAGAGCTCAAGAACAAAGTAAGTCCTGGTATAGAGAGAAGGGTCCAGCACTGAGAAGGAGAGGGAGCTTTCCCTAGCCTTTGCCATGAAGCGCTCCTGAGAACATGGCAGAGGAGAGGGTAAGGTGTCCAAGCTGAAACAGCTCTCAGTCCATGAGTCAACATGTCCAAGATGCAGCTTTAGCAAGACAGCAGGGCAGTGCAGAGTGCCTGAATCATGGGCCTTACCTGCCTAGAGCTATTCTCATGTAGTATTTCAGAACTACAAAGAAAAATAATCAGTTATGGCCTGTGCTACACCTACGGATAAAGGAGTTACTCCAGACTTCCCTGACAAGACAGTGCAGATTTTGATTTAGTGAAATCCATCATATTGTTCAACATATGACATCACCAGCTATGGATGTTTCACTGTTTGGATTCTTTTTCATTAAACTGGGCAAAAGCTCTCAACCTTTTAGCAATGTCAGGATGTAAATAACAACATCACTAGCTCCTTCCGCCTCCCGCTTCCGGAATAAAACGCCTTTTATTTTCACTGTGCAAAATGAAAGAGAATCACAGCACAAAAGGTTCTTCCCAAAAAGCAGCAAAATATCAGTTAGCCTGTGAATTGCGGTGTATGGAAGAGATGTCACCCTGTCTTCCCATGTTAACCCTTCACCAGCGGCGTCCGTGCCTAACGAGTGTCTTGTCATCATAACCGCTAGTCCCAGGGCATAATGACGGTGGGGAGTCCTCATCAACTGTTAAAATGAACAAAAGCGGTTAAAAAAAAAAAAAAAAAAAAAAAAAAAAGCACTCCAAGACTAAAAAGCTTCCCGGCACACAGGCGCGTTCCCGGAGAGCACCGACCCCCCGCCCGGCCGTGCCGCGGGGGCGGCTCCCGCCGCTGAGCCAGACGCGGGGCGCTGGGATGCGACATCCCGGGGGCACGGGCCGCCGCGCCGCACGGCCCCGCTGCACCGCACCGCACCGCACCGCCGGCCGCTCCCGGGGGCGGGCGGCGCCGATCCCGCCCCCCGCCCGCGGCAGCCGCCAGCAGCCCCCGGCAGCCGCCAGCGCGGCGGGCGGCGCAGGCAGGCGGCCGCCAGCCCTCCCTCGCATCCATCCCTCACTCCATCCCCCCCGCCCTCCCCGGCGGGCCGCGCCGCAGCCCGCGGGCGCGGCCAGGAGGCGGCGGGGCCGCGGCTCCCCCGGCTCCCCGCCCGCCTGCCAGGCGTGGGGCGGCCCGGGACTCCCCGCCTTTCCGCGGCTCTCCGTCCCCCTCCGGCGAGATGTTATGGCCGAGCCGGCGCAGACGGGCGGCGTAGGGCAGGGCGGGCAGCGGGAGGATGAGGCGGCGGCGGCGGCGGCGGCCGCCGCCCCCAGCTCCGAGGACTACGAGTGCAAGATCTGCTACAACTACTTCGACCTGGAGCGGCGGGCGCCCAAGCTGCTGGAGTGCCTGCACACCTTCTGTCAGGAGTGCCTGAGCCAGCTGCACCTGCGCGCCGCCCAGCATCCCCCCGCCGCCGGCGCCGAGCCGGGGCCGGGCCGCTCCCCCGGCGGCTCCCTGGCCTGCCCGCTCTGCCGCCACCGCACGGCGCTGCCCGACCACCGCGTCCACGGCCTCCCGGTCAACACCAAGCTGGCCGCCGCCTGCCCGCCGCAGCTGCGGGCCCGAGACCCGGTGCCGCAGGACCGGCTGCCGCCGCTGCCGCCGCGCCGCCCGCCCCGCGCCCGGGAGGCGGCGGCCGCGCTCGCCCCGCCGCCCCCCGCCCCCGCCGGGCCGCGCTCCTCGGGCGGCGGCTACGAGAGCTGCCAGAGCTGCAAGCGGGCGGCGCTGAGCGCCGGCTGCGTGTGCGTCGTCGTCTCCTTCCTCTCCATGGTGGTGCTGCTCTTCACCGGCCTCATCTTCGTCAACCAGTACGGCGGGGACGCCGCCCCGGGCGCCGCGGCATCGCCGTCGCCGGTGGGGCCCATCTGCCTGTCGGTGGCCAGCATCCTCGCCCTCTTCTCCGTCGTCGTCACATGGCTCATCTGCTGGCTCAAGTACCGGCCCGAGGCGGCGACCGGCGGGGCCACCGCGAACGGCACGGCGCGGGGCCGGGCCCGCAGGAGCGACACGTAGCCCCGGCGGGGCCGAGCGGGGCCGGGCCGGGCCGGGCCGGGCTGCGCGGGGCGGGCGGCGCGGAGCGGAGCGGAGGGGGCTGAGCGGCGGGTCCGGCGGTGCGGGGACAGCGCGGACCCTGCTCTTTGGTGCCCCGCGCTGGGTGCGGGGAGCCCGCCCTGGTGACAGGTGCCAGCCCTGCCGCGGTGACCGGTGCCAGGCCAGACCCGATGTCACGGTGAGCCCTGCGGCCAGGCCGGCCCCCTGGCACCGGCGCAGCCCGCGGCGGTGGGGATGGGCTGGAGGGTGACCTGGCGAAGGGTCACGGAGGGTCCGGACGCTCAGGAGGGAGGGCAGGGCGCGCCTTTCCAGCTAAGATGCCTGGAAGGGCCTCCCTGGGGAGCTGGAGGTTGGGGGCTGACGCGCCTCGCCGCCTCTGCGGGAGCGCACCCGGCGTTCTGAGCTCCTGATGCAGAAGGACACAATCGGGATTAAAGAAAACTGGCTTACTGTTGCCCCCACCTGGAAGATAATTGGAGAGATTCACTGTGGTTAGGAGCAGAACAGGATCACGATGTTTAATGCGCTTTGTTTTTTCCCTTTTATGAAGTTAACAAGTACATGTAGAAGAAGCTGTAACAGAAATGTATTATCTTAAAAGAGACTGAGCCAAAGTTTCCTACAATGTATTGAGTACGGTTTTATTATAATTTTATTAGAAGGCTGTTGAGCCCTCTGATGGTTACTTAAAATAAGCTGTGTTATTTAATTCTTTGAAATTCTAATTTAATGTGGGAGACTGAAACACTACACTGAACACTTACAACAATTTATGGAATATTATTTAATTAATGGAGCTCTAAAATAGAGCAAAGAGACTGCTGTGGCAGGGAGTAATATTTCACTGGCCATTGATTTCAATTTTTATGCAGTGAGAGAAGCCCACATTAAAGTACAAATTTTCAGCATCACTGTAAAAGTGGAATGCAGTAGCATAATTTGTGATTAAACATTTGCCTCTGGTCGAGGTAGCTATAACAAGATGATGGTTTTCCCTCTTTATAAGTTTCTCTTCTGTGTTGGGAGTTTCTGTAGCGGCCAGTAGAAAACGTTTTTATTCTGAGTTTGGAATATCAAATATGTCTGTGAAATGTGACAAGATGCTCATAATTTGAAATGGAAAAACGTTGCCATACAGCTGGTTTTGTAGTATATCAAGGAGAACACTCTATATAGATACTGTTCTATGTTGCAGGATAATTCATTTGGTGCCTGAATTTTTTTAACTTAATTAGTTGTTATAATCTATTCTATTGGGAATAAGATAATGCTGCTTATTCCGTGTTTCTACACAGTACTGTAATGGAATGAAGTAATTATTTTCGTGCTTAACAATTCAAGAATTTTAAAAGTGATCTTTTAGTATGTGTATTTTGCAAGCTGTCTGCATGATGTTCTGACAAGTATCCTCTTAATAGACCTTTACTTGACCACTTATTTATCACAAGTGCAAAGGAATTTACTATGTAGAAATGTAAAGACAGCAGGTGAAGATGTGTGATGTGTTTTATGACTGCACAAGTGATGTGTACTGTGCGTTCTGATTATCACAAATCTGTGAAAAACAACCCCCTGATGCCCAAGAAACCCCACAAACCCAAGCGATGTTTATACAAACTCTGTGACGATGGACACAGTTTATGGAAACAGCATATGATCTTTGTGTCACGTCTATTTGAAAAGATCCACACCAGCCTTTTAAAGTCGTATATCATATTATAAAGGCCCCGAGGAGATAAATTACTGGGATCAACTGTGGCTCTGACCACGATCCGTGTATTTAGACCAGTGTTTTCCAACTTGGAGTTGCTCGTTTGCTGTCTAAAAGGTTATGCCTCCTAAAATCTGGCCTGACCGTTTGCCCCTGTTGACTTCAGCAGTAGTTGTGATTGTTCTGCACCAAAGAAAACCATGAGACTTTTATTTAAGCATCTAATTGAGAGTTTAGATGCTTGACTTCAGGTACAAATGTTTGAAGATTTGGGCCTTAACCTCTCTGTTCTTCAGTTAATGCATCTGTAAAGTTTGATAATAGCATTGACCTACCTCACAGGCAAGATGTGAGGCTTTATTTATTAAAGTTTTTAAGCAATTGGAGATCCTTGAAGAGGAGGTGCTATAGAAGCGAAAGTATTATTATAAATGATACTGTAGTAGGAATAAATATATGTAAATTAATGGACATAAACAGCAGCAATGTTTTCTAAGAAAAATAAATATATAAAATATGTACATGTGTACATCATATGCACCGATACATGATTTACCTGTTTGTGCTTCTACTGCATATCCACATTTCTGTCCAACCAGGTAAGCTCCAGCCCCTCGCAGTTCAGGTGAGCCCAGCCAGCCGTCGCTGCTCCAACTCCATCTCTTGCAGACGTGCCAGAGGTAGCTCCGAGTGCTCATGGAGCTCAGCTGGAGCTCTCTCTGTGTAGTTCTTTGCTTTGGTTGCTCTGAGCTGCTCAGGTGTCACAGGTGTGCTCCTGGCACTCCGGGGAGCTCCCACCGACTTGCAGTGTGTGCAGGAACTGCTGACCCACGGAAGCTGTTCCTTTGCTGTGCCCTGAAATGCTGATTACAGTAAGAAATGGATACTCCCACCCAATTCTTTCCACATCATAGTTTTATCCTTGCCTTTTCTCTGCAAACAGTATTTGCCATTTTGGCTAAACCAATGGTTTCATCTGGGATCCATGGACTACTAAAGGAGCTGCAAAAGGTAAGTTAAGAAAAACAAATGGATAATCAGAAGCTTAAATCTGTTACTTTAAAGTGTTTAGAGGTTGGCACATTACAAAAAGTTGAAGATCACAGGCCTAAACAGGATTTTCAGGCTTATTCACATTGAATGATCATGTTACATATCAGGTTCCTACCCCTAAATTTGAAAATACATCAGAGCCAAATTAAAGTGGACCGTCTGACAATATGCCAAATCTTTCTTTCTGCTTCTGCAAATTTTGGGAAATTCCACTGGTTTCAGGAGTGTTAGTCTGGATCCACATCACAGTATCAGAAAAAAATCATGCATTGTATACATCTCTGGCTACTGTAGAATCCCAGTATTATATTTGTATTTTGGGTTCCTTTGAGTGTACAGATTGCTTGTCCAAAGCCAACCTTTGCTCAAGTTTCAGTAAAAAAAGGTTATACAAAAAGAGAAAAATCTGTGTGGCTGGTGGTTTATTATTGTAACTATTTCAGTCATGACACTTGTGTGTTCTGCCTTTTTAAAAATGCACAGAGATTTGCAGGGGAAGGGATGTGCAGCAGGTATAGTATCGACACATCTTGCAGAAAACAGTGGTGCTTTGGGGCACTCCGTGGGAAAGCAGAGAGGACAGGGTATGCCACAACACCATGGGGAAAATCGTGAGAAATAAAAGGTACTGGTTTGGTGGTTTTTTTTTTTTGTTTGTTTGTTTGTGGGTTTTTGTGGTTTTGGTGGTGTTTTTTTTTTTTTTCCTGCTGTGCAATATTTTCTTGTTTTACTCAGTCTGGGGCACAAGGAATGGAAATACCAGGAAAGTAAACAGTGGCCTGAATCTTCCTCAGGAAATTTTTTTTACCTCTCCACTATCACAGTCTGTGTGAACTCTGAAAGACCTGTACTTTCCAGTTGTGCCAAAAGATCTCAAAATTTTTGTGGCAGTAATCCCCAATTCCTCTACCTGAATGGAGCATAGTGAACTCCAGGCAGGAAGATTAGATTAAATGTTAAGTGCAGGATTTGGAATAGGCTGCCAGACATCAGTGATATTAGACCAAGAGAGGGAGAGAAAAGCAGATAGGAGGGCAGAGCCCACCCAACCAACACAGAACCTGGGGGGGTAGTCACGTGCTGCAAACTGTGCATTTCCAGGTCACCTGGGACAGGTGACTATCATCACTGCTGGAGGAAAGTTCTCACTGGAGATAACTGTGCCGTAGGAGGAGACTCAGTCCATGGTCTTTGTGAGCAGCTTCTGTATAACTTGTGCTCAAGAGTTCAATTTTTTAAAGCACAATTACATTTTTTTATATTTAGCACGTACCCTCAG